AAATGCAGTGCATACCTTTCACCCCACTCTTTGTGATTTTGCTTCTGATGGTCAAGTATTGAGGAACAATACGCAGTTTCCAATTCTGGGCAAGTTCTTGTATAAGCTGTTAGACTTTTTAGCATATTTATCATCAGCTTATATATTTCAGTTATGAACTAAAAGTGAAATGTAGTTAGAGTCGCCTGAAGGGATATTAATTAGATCTCCCCCCTTAATCTTTTGAGATGATGTCCTGTCAGCAATGAAGCATTTCACTGTTAATCAGAAAATCAGCTGCATAGGCTGAACTGGAAAAGAGATAAATTTCAAATCAATCAATTTTGCACTTGTCAGCAGCAGGGGTGAAATATTTGGTGGAGTGAGGGTATAGAACTTTTGCCCAAGAGGAAGATTCCATACAATTCATCATGCATTTATTGAATTCTCAGGTAGCAGTCAATGTGTTAGAAATTGGGACCACAGAATAGAGATGAGGCAGGCTCTGAATTCAGCCTGTTTGAGTTTGAATCCTGATCCTATTAATGTGAACAAAGTACTTTGCCCACTTCTTGCGCTGCCTTATTGGTCCCCGGGGGCATAAAATCTAACATGCTCTATAGCTAAGCAAAAGGTTAAAGGTTTAAGTTAATTAGAAATAACGGAGGAAAGACATGGTCATCTACTTACCAAGAAATCATGCACAGAAAATCCGATGGATGGCCATTGTGCTCCGATATATACGTGACACAGCCTTGAGACGGAATGAATTTGATGGCATTTTTTAAAAATTAAAGAATGTGTTTCTGTTGTACAGAAATTCCAAGTATTAGCACTTTAAATCAGAGTCGTGTACTTCTCTTTCATATAATGGTCCCGAGAGGCGAGCCCAGGTGGATTCTACTTTTAAAAAATCCTCCAGAGATGAAGTGTCCTTCCCAATGTTTGCTGCGCTAATGTGCTAATCAAAGATTGGGGCGAAAGGTATGCACTACATTAAATATGCCCATGGAGGCTACACTCTCCCCTCAAATGGACACCCAATTCAATCATTCCTCTGCCAGGTTGAAGCTGACTCACGGCCATGCCTTCATCCAAGTCCCACGGACACGGTCAGTCAGCTCAGACTCTGAAAGGGCACACGCCATTTTCACTCTTCCTACTACCCAGTCTCTGTCCTAGCAAGCTGCAAAGGGCTGTGGGGGATGTACTGTCCGGCAGAGCAGCCATGTGTCCAACTTAAACTATTAGTCACGGTTAACAATCCCTGCCACACTTGCCTACAGGTTTGTTTCTTTATCTCTGCAATGGGATTTCTATCCCATTGTGTCATTTCCATA